CATGTCCCAGTTGTCATCACAGATGGTGCCCCAGGAGCCTTCGTGGTAGATCTCCACTCTCCCGTCACATCTACTGCTCCCGTTCACCAGGCGGAGCCATCTGCTTTCTGAGGTGAGACAGTCATGTAAACAAGCATTTATAGCGGGATAAATCAGACAGGAGGCATTTATACAGGGATGAGAATGGACTCTTGTCTTGTAGGAACCCTCACCTGAGCAGTTGGCAGCATTGTCCTCTGAGGCTGTAGAGCCTGCTGGGTTAGACATGGAGTCATTACACGGGGGCAGCAGCTGGGTCTGATTTCCTATAGAAATGACATGAATTAAAGTATATAAATTTAGTGAGGTAGTCTGAATTGAAAACTTAGATGTTGGAGTATTAGTATTATAACCTCAGATTGAACTTCTTTGTAGAATTCTATTTCTGACATGGCAAAGAAGTCTTTTTAAATCATTGCACTGATAATGCCATTAGAAAAGTTGGAATAGATGAACACTGCTTGAAGTCACTGTGCATTGACCAATGCAGGAAGAAATTTTGAAGCCAAGATCTCAGAGAAAAATGAAGTGAAGAGGTGAGACTGCATTTCTTTGAGACATTTGCTTATTCAAAGTTAACAGCTGACAGAAGAGAGGCTCAATAGAAGGGTTTCCAGACTTATTGGCTGGGGAAACACATATTATAATTTGAGGTGTGTTAGGAGGAGAAGCCCTGTTGAATATCCAGAATAATTGTTGCTGTTGTTTAGTGTTGTTAAGTAGGTTCTGACTTATAGCGACCCTGAAAATGGTTTCTGAGGAGGTTGGTGGGTTTGAACTACCTGCAGGTAGCAGTCCAGCGCTTATCTTATAGTTCCACACTAGGACCCTACAGGAAAATAAATGAATGAAAAGTAGACCATTCTTCCTATGGATGGAGGCCCAGCTTCTAATCATTTCAATGGTATAGCTGGCACTCTAGGATAAGCACTGGACAGCTAATTGCACGGTTGGTGATTCAAACCCACAAGTAGCTTTTTGGAAACCCTATGTACAGTGTTCCTATAAGTTGGAACCAACTTGATGGCATTAACAACAACAATCTCTAAATCAGGTGTTTGGAAGTAGTAAAATAAAATCATTTCTGAATGATTTAGATAATTTCTCAACTATAGCTTCTGTCATTCAAAAACATATGTACATATGAAAGAAGATATTTGACAAAGCACACAAGAGGACAAAGGACACATTAGAAAGAAACTAAGGAAGTGGGGTATTGGTGGAAGGATACAAAAAATATTAATGGAACAGAATAGTCTTAGAGTAGACGCAAATATGCATGGATTCTGTTGATCGCAAAGGTTGTACTGCAGAGGGAAAAGAGTTTTTAGGAAAGAATTCCAAGTCAATTGGATAACTATATAAAAATACAAAACTTAACTCTTATTTCACATCACACACAGAAATAAATTCCAGAAGGATTGCACAGTTATATTTCAAAGGAAAATAACTAACCTTCTTTAAGATTCTGTAGCAGAATATCTTAATGACCTTGAGGTAGACACAATACTCTTAAAATAGACATAAAAAGCATTATGTGCACTGAAAAAGTGTTGATGAATTATACGTCATTAAAATTAGAAAGTTGGATATAAAAAATGAGTAAGAGAGTGAAAACAAAATGCTGTGTTAAAAACTCAACATAACATATAAATCATTGTCACAATGATTCGTAGTGTTATTTGTTATAGTCAGAAATTGGAAACAAATCAGTGGAATGGACCAACACTTTGTCACGTAATCCATTCATGGGAAACTACACAATAATATGAATGAAGCACTGTTGTAGATAATGACTTGGACAAATCACAATCATAATATTGAGTCAAAGAAGTAAGGCAAAATAGAATATAATACATAATTTTATATAAAGTTAAATAAAATTGGCAGAAGTATTCTGCGATAGTAGAACCTTAGAGAGCAGTGTTCTTTGGAGAGGAGGGACATCATATGATTGTTGGGGTGTGTAGGTGGCTTGGGGGTGCTGCTAATGTTCTTTTTGTTAATCTGGGTTATGGTTATTTGACTGTATAGGAGTCCTAGTGTGATGCTGTGGGTGAATGTGCTGGACTGCAAAGTGGGTTTGAATGCAAGGTCAGTGGTTCAAGCTCACCAGTTGCTTCTTGGAAACCTTATACAGGGTTGCTTTGGGTCAAAACCAAATCAACAGAACATCACAGCTACAGCGACAACATGTTATTATAATTGAGTAAGCTATATACTTATTGTTTATATACTTTTCTCTAGAATTACATTCTTATTAAAAATGGTATCCCATTAACTCTTCTTGCCCAGACTTGAAAGATGAGTCAACAGGAAGAACAACCCAGTGCAGAAAGTCTCACCTTTGTAGTCAGGTTTTCCAC